GAAAAATACTGTGATATAAATTTTTGGTCATACCACCCAGCACTAATTCAACGATGGTAAAACTTCCCATGGTAAGTCATGAAATAACTCACTTCTGACTCTCATCGGATAATTTCTTAATGACTTGACCGAGAGTGAACAAACTGCGGTTTATGTTGCACCCTTCTTTAAAGCGGGCTCCTGAAATGGAGGAACAAGAGAGAGGTTTAAAAAGACCAAAAAATTACCCAAATTCACTGCATTCATTAAACAGCTTTTCAAAAAAGGCTCACACTTTAACTGTAAACAATTCTATGATATATTAAATAATTCTAGATGTTTACTCAATTGCTCCCAATCACTTCCTGTAGTCAGTCAATTTTGACCGCAAACAGGCGAAGTGCGACTTTTTTAATGCCCACTTACAATTATTGAAAGTCCATTTTTTGCTCAAATTGCATATCTAAAAACCACCAACTTTTGAACTTCTCAGATTGAGGAAACCATCTTTATATATATATATATATATATATATAAATAATAATAAATTAATTAATTCATAAAAAAAGGAAATCAAAATCAGTAAAATCTTATAAGGGTTAAACGCAACAGACTAAAAGAAAAAAAGAAAAGAAAAAATCGTTACCCTCAGCTCCTGTTTGACTCGCCCGCTCAGCACCAGCAAGATCCACCAAGTTCTACAGGAACAGGAAACAATAAACTGACTAAACATATTAAATGCTGCTTATCTAAATTACAACAGTGATTGAAATAACACCAACGGTTCCTGGTTTGTTTTGAGCTCACCAAGTGTGACACAATGATGGCTCCATCAGCGTTTTCACCGGACGCCGGGTCACTTCTCTCACGACTCTCCAAGATCTGACGTGGACAAAATAAACGAGACGCTTTAGAGATGAACACTAAATCAGATTCCAAACACACTCCAGTTCATCATGCTTCTTACCATGCGGAAGATGGTGTGAGAGCGGCTGCTACGCTGGTTCATTTTTGTTTTTCCATAATGTCGGTTTTCTGTACAAAAAAAAAGTGATGAAGAAATAAGTACCGCAGTATACCAAAAATATAAAGAATGGCGGACGATCAGTGAATGCAACTTTACTTTCTCCTTTGGTGATCCAGGACAGGGCTTGTTCCGGAGACGTCACCAGCTCTTCTGTCAGATCAGCCACATACACGTTTTTCTGAGGACACAGTTGGCAGGTTAAGAGCTAAAACTACTTTCAAATCGCCAATGTGAGTCCAGTGAAAGATGAACAACTTACGTAGTTCCCTTCACGGATTTCCAGAGGTTTTCTTTTCCAGCTCTCGCAGAGCAAATCTGTGACTGTTTCATTGTAGATTTCCATGTAGCTCACACGCAGGAGAAACTCTTTCTTTGGACACTAGATAGATGCAAAAAAATAAAACTATGGTTTATTCCACTGATACAGAATGAAAAAGACACCAATTATTAAAGGAATACTTCTCTTAAAAATGAAAATGAGCTGAAAATGTACAAGTACACTATTCATTTAATAATTTGTGTGGGGAAAAGACTGAAATATAAGCTGTTATTCACTGTAAAAGGGTTCCTCTGGAGGAGCACTCAGATCTCAAATGTGTCATAGAAATTAAAATTTTTTTTTTAATTTGATGCCAGGAAGACTTGCAAGCACTTACATTTTTAATAGTTTTGAAGACATCAGCCATGGCAAGAGGAATCACTCCAGGGTTATGTTCCCTTCCCATCATGGTGAAGGTCTTTCCAGAAGATGTCTGTCCGTAGGCAAATATCGTGCCTGAAAATAGGAGATTATGCATTAAGAATCAACAGTGACCAAGCAAATGAAATACATAAGTACAAATCATATCCATGTATATTGTGCTCATACATACACTACATAAAATACACAATATATACATTATTTTTGTATGTATTGCAACTAGGGCTGGGCGATATAGCTAAAAAAAAATTTATTGACGATATAATGTTTCATAT